CAAAAAGAATGAAATCTTGTCATTTGCTATGACATGGATGGAGCTAGAGAGTATTATGCTAAGTGAAATAAGTCAGAGAAAGACAAATACCATCTGATTTCAATCATACGTGGAATTTAAGAAACAAATGACCAAATGGGGGTAAGAGGCAAACCAAGAAATGGACTCTTTCAACTCTAGAGAACAAACTGATGGTCACCAGGGTGGAGGGGGCTGGGGGTACAGGTGAGACGGGGATGGGGATGAAGGAGCGCACTTGCTGGGATGAGCACCAGGTGTTGTATGGAACTGTTGAATCACTACATTGTACACCTGAAAGTAATATAACTGCATGTTAACTAGCCGGAATTTAAATAAAAACATAAAAAAAAATTTGAAAGTTGCCAATGCTTTTTCTGCATCTATGATCATATGACTAACCTTCATTTTGTCGATGTAGTGTATCACATTGACTGATTCGCGAGTGTTGGCCCATCCATGCATTCCTGAAATATATTCCACTAAATAATGGAATATGATCCTTTTAATGTATTATTGAACTCTGCTAATATTTTGTTGAGGGTTTTTGCATCTATGCTCATCAGGGATATTGGCCTGTAATTTACTTATGGCATTCTTGTCTGGTATTGGTATCAGGGTAATGCTGCCCTGTAAGATGAGTTTGGAAGCTTCCCTTCCTCTCAGTGTTTTGGAAGAGATGGAGAAGGGGAGGTATTAAATCTGTCTGAATGTTTGGTGGAATTCACAGGGAAGACATCTTGTCCTGGACTCCTGTTTGCTGGAGGTTTCTGATCAGAGTCAATCTCCTCACTACTAACCGGTATTCAGATATTCTACTTCTTCATGATTCAGCCTTGGAAAGTGAATGTATATAGGGATTAGGGTTCAATTTGTTGGCATATAGTTGTTCATAGTAGTCTCTTATAACCCTTTGTCTTTCTGTGGTGTCGGCTATAACTTCTGTTTCATTTCTGATTATATTTGACTCCTGTTCTCTTGTTTTCTGGCTGAGTCCAGCTATAGGTGGATCAATCTTGTTTATCTTTTGAAAGAACCAACTTCTTAGTGTCATTAATTTTCCCCCCTATACTCTTTATAGTATCTATTTCATTTATTCCCACAATGATCTTTGTTCCTTCCTTCTACTAACTCTGGGCTTCATTTGCTCTTTTTCCTTGAGGTTTAAACTTAGATTATCAGAGATTTTTATCATGGACTAACATAGGCCTGTATCACTGTGACCTTCCTTCTTAGAACCACTTCTGCTGAATTTAGATTTTATATGTTCTGTTTTTGTTTAAATTGATCTCAAGCTGTTTTTTTCCTTTTTCTTTGATTTCCTCATTGACTCACTGGTTGTTCAGTAGCATGTCATTTAATCTCCACATATTTGTGAATTTTCCAGTTTTCTTCATGTAATGGATTTCTAGTTTCATACTGCTGTGGGTCAGAAAAGATGCTTGATATGATTTCACTCTTCTTAAATTTACTGAGACTTGCTTTGTGGCCTCACATGTGATCTATCCTGGAGGACATTCCAAATGCCCTTGAGAAGAATGCATATTCTGTTGCTTACGGATGGAATGTTCTACATAAATTAAGTCCATTGGTGTAAGTGGGGTATCAAAGTCCCCTACTACTGCTGTATTGCATTTCTCTCTTTAGGTCTATTAATATTTGCTTTATATATTTAGGTGCTCCTATGCTGGGTACATAAATGTTTTTACAAATATTATGTCTTCTTTGTGGACTGATCCCTTTATCATTATGTAATCCCCTTCTTTGTCTCTTATTAACAGTCTTTGTTGTAAAGTCTATTTTGTCTGATGTAACTACAGCTATTCCTCTTTCTTCTCATTTCCACTTCCACGGAATTTCTCTACATCCCTTCACTTTCAGCCTCTGTGTGTCCTTACATCTAAAGTGAGCCTCTTGGAGGCAGCATATAGATTGCTCTTGTTTTTTTCCCATTGACTCACTCTTGGTCTCTTGGTTAAAGAATTTAGTCCTTCTACATTTGAATTAAGTATTGATAAGTAGATACTTATTGCCATTTTGTTAATTGTTTTCTGGCTTTTTTCAGTTGGGCCTCTCTTTGTCCTTTGTGATGTGATGACTTCCTTTACTGTTACACTTAGACTCCTTTCCCTTTATATTTTGTGTCTCTACTGGGGGTGTTCACTTTTTGGTCACCATAAGGTTCACATACAACAGCCTATATACACACGCACGCATATACTTAATTGTGTGTGTGTGTGTGTATCTCAGTCTATTTTAATTTGATAGCAACTTAAGTTTGAACATACTTGAGTTTACCTGCCCTCCCCATATTTAATGTTTTGATATTACACTTACATCTTTTTACTTTGTGTATCCCTTAACTAAGTATTGTGGTTTTCATGATTTTTACTACTTTTGTCTTTTTAACCTTCATTCTAGTTTTAGTTTTATTAAGTAAGTAATCCATTACCTTTACTCTACATTGACCTTTAGCAGTAAGATTTATACTCTCATTTATTTTCTTGTTACTAATCAATGCCCTCTCTCTTCAGCTTAAAGAAGTTCCTTAACATTTTTCATAGGGCCTGTTTAGTGGTGACGAACTCCTTCAGGTTTTGCTTGTCTGGAAAACCATCCTCCTTCAATTCTGATTGACAGCCTTGCTGGGCAGAGTAGCCTTGGTTGTAGGTTTTCTTTTCAGGACTTTGAATATATCCTGCTGCTCTCTTCTGGCCCGCAAGGTTTCTGCTGAAAAATCTGTTGAGAGTCTTAGTAGTTTCCTTGTATGTAACAAACTGTTTTTCTCCTGCTGTTTTTATGATTCTCTCATTAACGTTTGACACTTTTAATTATAATGTGTCTTGCTGTGAATTTTTTGGATTCATCTTACTGTCAGCTCTCCAGGCTCCCTGGATCCGGATATCTGTTTCTTTCCCTAAGTTAGGGATGTTTCTGCTATTATTTCTTAAATTACATTTTCTGCCCCTTTCTCTCTTTCCCCTCCTTCTGAGACTCCCTAATGTGAACGCTGTTCCACTTGATGTTGTTCCTCAAGCTATCTTAACTTAAAATAAATTGTTTTTGTTTCTTTTTGCTGCTCTGTGTGAGGTATACTGTCCTGTCGTCTTGAGAGCTGATGCTTTCTTCTGCTTCATCTATGGGAACTTTCCAGGGCATTCTTCATTTCAGTTAAGTTATTAAGTTCTGTGACTTCTGTCTGGTATTTCCTTCTGTTTGCCATCTCCTTGTTGAAGTTCTCACTGTGTTCATCCGTTCTCTGGAGTTCAGTGAGTGTCTTTATGACCATGACTTTGAACTACTTATCAGGTAAATTACTTAGCTCCATTTCATTAAGGTTTTATCTTGTTCTTTTTTCTGGAACAAAGTCCTCTGTGTCTTCGTTTTGTTTGACTCTCTGTATTAAGTGCAGCAGCCACCTCTCCCAGTCTAAGGAGTGGCCTGTGCAAGCGATGAATCTTCTCATGCACCCTTGCCCTTGGATGTCTCTTGAACCTTTCTGATTGTCTAAGCAGCCAGATTTATTCCTGGTATGTTCCCATTGCTGAGGCTGTGCCAAGACCTGTCCATGTTCCAAAGGGAGGAATCCTGTGGAGCACCCAATTTCAGGCTGACTGGAAGCCAGGCTCTCAGGCAGCAGTTTCTAATGTATGCAAATATATACAGTTCTGTGGGACCACAGTCACAAACCCTGCTGGCCTCCGGACCAGGACGTCTGGAGGGGTCTCCCAAGCTATAGTTGCAAAAATCAGGGCTCCAAATGCATGTGCAGCTCCTTTCTTGGAGATGCCAATGAGCTGTAGCATGGTCAAGGGAGAGTGCGAGGTTGTCCCCCTATCTGTGTTCTCTGAGAGTCCCTCTGTAGTCTCCAAATCTGTGGCAAACCTGAAAATGGCACCTCAGGCTGCAGCCCCAGGACAAGTAAATAGCCCTTTATCACAGACAGACTGAGCACATGCGTCAGTGTGCTGTGTAGTGCCCTGGGGTGGCTGTCTGTCAGGAACTCTCTGTCCAGGTGATACAGTCCTGGGGGGCCCAGGTATGCAAGCCCCCTGAGCCGGGTGTGCACCTGCCAGCTTTGGCAAGGCCACGGGACGGTGCTGGCGCTGCAGCTCACCCACTGGCTTTAGGGCAGTATCAAGCGAGAAGCAGAGGCAACAACGGTGCAGGTCTGTGCCGTCCCCAGACACAAGTCCCAACCCTGTCCCCCTGGCTTATGCTCTAAGATTAGCAAATGGATCTTCTTCATACATAGTGTGATCACTTCTCAAACCACTCCTTCTGCACAGGGCCCTGGGACAAGTGAGTTGAATGTGAGCTCCATGTGTGTGCTGGACACAAGCCCCGACGTTTCCAAAGGCAGGTGTTTTGGGGGCTCATCTCCCTGGTGCAGCCTCCAGGGATTGGAACGTCTGACTTCGGCATGAACCCCTCACTTTAGGAGAGTGCTCCAAATTTGTGAGATCCCTCCCACGTGTGGGTCACAGTGCAGGGGTGGGACGTTTGGTGAGACAGCATCTCTGCCTCTCCTACCTCCCTCATTTTACATGAAGGAGCTGATCAGCTAGCTCTTGGGTCTTTTTTTAGAGGGAGTTTTTCATATGTAGCTGTAGATGTGGAGTGACTGGGGGAAGAGGTGAGCTCCGCATCTTCCTGCACCACCGTCTTGCACGGCCCGCATCAGCGCTCTGTCACCATCGCCCAGAAGCTCCACCTCCGAGAAGCTGCCCATGCTAAATCCTGCCGCGAGCTGGGCTTGCCAGGGACTGTTCCCTCTACTGACACAGCTGATGAAAACCTGCACAGAGCCTCAGAAACAACAAAAACATCTCTGTGCTTCTCCATCCACATCCTGCTGAGATGAAAAGCCATTTAAAAAACAGCCACCCACGCATTCTGACCTCAAAACAGAACGTTCCACTGCAGCTGAGCCTGACACTCCCCCAGGGTGACAGGCCTGAACGTAACAACACGCTCTTTACCTTTCTCGTGAGCGGGACTTCAATGGGCACAGGGACAACTTCGGCCAGTAGGCAGCCGTAGAAGGCCACCATCGAGGCAGCAGGGTCATTGTTGGGGAACACCAGCGCCACCTGCATGGACACAGAGCAGGAGGGATTAACCATCCAATTGATGCCACGGGCTCTCAGAAAAACCGAAGAGGGACGCAAACCGCCACAGCCCACAGGGCTGTGCTCTAAGTAAGAACAGACATTGCAACAAAAATTAGGTGTGTGCTAGAAAATACATTTTAGTAAATACCATGTACTTTTCCTTTAATGTATGTGGAAGCCAAACACATTACTGACAGTCATCTAGAACACCGCCCCAGAATACAACCATCCCGATGGTTCGCGCATTGCCTTCTACTGTGCACCTTTATACACTGTGAACCATCACGGTGCACATACTGCCTCGCTTCTCACCATTTTCACGGGCTCAGCAGGGGCTTCCTCGTGCGTCCACGTGGGCTTCACCAGTGTGCCCCCCACGAGGGCGGGCTGACAGTGGGGGTGGGGGTGCACGGACCACAAGGACTCTGTTCTGGTCCCTGGCCAGGATTAACCCCTCTGGGCCTTCGTTTTCCTACCTGCGTCCTAGTGTCGTGAGGAAGGTCACCTGAGAAGGTGGTAAGAGCTCAGCGTGAGGCCCAGTGCACGGCACGCCGGCGTGAACGTTAGCCCGCCTGGCTGTCAGCCCCCCGGCACTGCCCTCACAGAGGAGGTTTCCGTGAAGACCTGCTCCCCTTGTTTCACCCACTGCCTTCCCATGTGGCCTCAGGAGTGGAGGGCACAGTGAGCAGAGTTATCAAAGCCGGGTCACTTTAATCCCCATGCGTAGTGTGATTTTTAAAATATGCTGCTGATAGCCCTGAGTGTGCCTTAATGATGAACGACTTTTCTACAGGATGGCTTATGACTCTTCCTCGCATCGAGCACTTCATTCCCCTTGCCTATTTACCTGTGTTTCCACATGTGCCCTAAAATCGGCATGAATTTTAAATATAGCTGATAGCATTCACTCTCACACTTGATGCAAAGACATGACATAGTATCTGTTTTATTTTTATCACCACAGTTAATGTTTTATGCACATTCATCAAAACTTTCCTTTACATTGGCACCTAGTATTTCACAAATACGCCGTCAGCCTAAGTGTGCATGGAGCTCATTCTAGTGCCTGCCATGCAGCTCATCTACCGTGGACCCAACTTGCTGTCCTGCCACTGCGGCTCCTCAGGGAGCAGCCTTTCCCGTCGTCTCGTTCAGAAAGCCTCCCTGCGACAAAGCGTGACCGTCTCGTTGCGCTCCCCACTCCGCTCTGCAGAACCCCGCTCCTGGGCCAACGCACGTCACTCCCACATGCCGGTCCCGCGTCCGTGTTGCTGTTCCCTCCCTGCAGACAACTGCTTGCTGCACACAGGCCCCGTGATTTAACGTGCCCAGGTCACTTCTGCATCACCTCACTCAGGGACTTAACCAGTTTTTTCTTGAATAAGGTCCTAACTAGAAGTCATTATTTTTGCCACGAACAGCTGGATAAGACGCTCTATCTCGATATTTAAATAAGCAAATTGGCACAAAGGGATTCAGATGGCAGCTGGGAACAGAACGGGCCACATCTTAAATTTGGCCATGGTGGAAATTTAGCCACACAGCACAGCTGGCAGGAAAAAAAAAAAATTAAGTTTGGCATTGAATGAAGGTTTCCTTTCTATATGGCATTCCTGCAGTTGATTAAAATTGGTGAAATCAAAGATCAATAACCCTGTAAGGCCAGTAAAAGCCATTCTGCACTACTGATGAACTGTGTTTGAGAAATCCTGAGAAGCGACTTACTTTGTCCCAGCCAGAGGGCAGGTAACCATTAGCAGGACCTTCCAGAAGGAAAAAGAGGATTTATCTGTACGTCTCTGAGGTCCATCATAGCCTCGGGTGTTCTGCCTTCAGCCAGTAGGCTGAGGTGACAGCAATGCTTTTAGATCTGGATCCGGCACAGCAATAACATTCATCAAGTAAGTGTTTGCAAGGCTTCCGCAGAAGACTCAGAACTTCCATCCAAAACTGACAGTTGCACCTATGCATAGAGGACGAGGTAAATATGGGCTCCTGGTCTTCCAGGAGCACCTGTCCAGGAAGCAGTGTCCTCACCAGGAGCAGAGAACCGAGAGCAACACGGTGACATTGCCAGACCAGACCAGTCCTGTTTCCGGGATCCAGGGCCAGCTACCAGCCCAGCTCTGTGCAGACGAAGATCAACCTGACCTGGGATTTCAAATCCCCACAGGTGTGGCTCATGCCCACGATGCTACATAAACCTTGCAGGGTTGTGCTAAATAGGAGAAAATGTTATTGCCAGTGTAAAGTACATAAAAGCAGAATATAACATTGTTCATTATTCTCTCTCTCAACAGTATCAAAGTAACGGATTGTGCTGGCGTACAGGTGCTTCGTTCTAATAAGCCCACACAGCTCCCCCTCACTTACTGCTCCACATATTCCTCTGAGATTTCACTGGACCTAATTACCCACAGGGCACGGCAGCAGCCACGGACCAAGAGGCAGAGGCACATCCCCAGCGTCTGCTGAGGTCTCATCTCCTTAAAGCGATTCCTCTTGCTCGGCCCGCGCTCAGCTCTCCCTGCACCCGGGGCGGCTGCACAGACACCCGGCTTGTCCTATGTTTGTGCACCGCACGCTCTCCCGCCCCGGCTCCTTCCCACACTTGCCTGCCGCCTGGCTGACAGCCCCTGGCTTGCTTCTCCTCTCTGGGAAGACTTCTCAGGTTGCAGATGCTCCTCCTGAATGAAAAAGCTCACCCTCTCCCCTTCCCAGACAGTCCATCTCCAACTCTTACCACCTCTTTTGGGGACCTTCATCACTTTCCAATTTATAGAAAAGCTAATTATCAATAATGTGTCCATATACTTTTTAATACTGCAAGCTCCCTGAGGGCAGGCTTCACACGGGATGCATCTTTGTATCTTCCAAAGCTTCCACTACACCTCTCAAAACCCTATTCAGCTTAGGAATATAAATGCCTTTTATTTATTTATTTATTGTTTTTTTTATTTATTTAAGATTTAATTTATTTATTTGACAGAGAGAGACACAGCGAGAGAGGGAACACAAGCAGGGGGAGTGGGAGAGGGGGAAGCAGGCTTCCCGTGGAGCAGGGACCCCGATACGGGGCTCGATCCCAGGACCCATGACCTGAGCCGAAGGCAGACGCTTAATGACTGAGCCACCCAGGCGCCCCTATAAATGCCTTTTAAAAGCCCAAGGTAATTCCCCAAACTACGTTAATAAGGTCACCCATGTGAAAAATGTCTGCAAAATTTTATGTCAAAGACTGAATATGCTCATTATTCTGGGGAAAATTATGTTTTATTCAAGAGTCATTTCGAAAGAGAGTAAAAAATTCTGTTTATTGCAATAGAAGGTTACGATCAATTGACTACTATAGTCACGTATATTTATTTATTTATTTATTTATTTATTTATTTAAAGATTTTATTTATTTGAGAGAGAGAGAGAATGAGAGATAGAGAGCACGAGAGGGAAGAGGGTCAGAGGGAGAAGCAGACTCCCCGCTGAGCAGGGAGCCCGATGCGGGACTCGATCCTGGGACTCCAGGATCATGACCTGAGCCGAAGGCAGTCGCTCAACCGACTGAGCCACCCAGGCGCCCAGTCACGTATATTTAATAAAAGGACCTATATGCATGTGCCAGATGCTAAGCACACAAATACTGTTTAATTTAGAAAAGTAGTTCCCCTCACACAGTTCAAATCAGCCTTTGCCGAAAAACCTCCTTACACAGTTTATTCATCAAAACTGTTCCCCCCAAATTCCTAACATCTTAGCTGAACAGAGGTGATTTACTTTGTCCTTGTTATTGTCAAGGAACTTCAAGAGTCTGGAGCCACGCTACATGAGAACTTTTAACAAAGTCACTGCACTAAGAGACTAAGACTATCCACCAAATCAGAGCTAAGGGAGATATCACATTACACAGGACTTTTTATTGTGGTAAATCTACATAAAGCTGGGGGTCTCGACTGTTTCCAAGTGCACAGGGGCATTAAGGACATCTGCCCTGCTGTGCAGCCCTCACCATCCAGAACCAGCCCCAGAATTCTCATCTTCCTCAACTGAAACCTCCACCCCCCAGCCCCTCCTTCAGCCCCCCAGACCCTCCCAACCCCCATCCCCTCCCCGGCCCCTCTCCCTGCCCGACAGCCACCTTGCTTCTGTCTCCAGGACGTTAACTGCCCTAAGCAACTCCTGTATCTGTCCTTTGTGGCTGCCTCATTGCACGTAGCATAAAACCCTCGAGGCCCATCCACGGGTTAGTGTGTGCCAGAATTTATTTTTTTAAGACTGCTTGATATTCCTGTGTGTGTACACCACACTCTGTTTCTCCGTTCATCTGTCCGCAGACACTTGAGTTACTTCCCCCTTCTGGTTTTGTGAATAACGCTGCTCTGAATACTGGTGTAAAATATCTGTTCAAGCTCCTGCTTTCAATTCTTCTGGAAGGGAAGGGAAATCACTGGGTCAAGGGGTGATTCCGCAGTTAATTTCCAAGGGCACCACCGTACTGTTTCCCAGGGGCTGCTCCAGGGGACCTTCCTACCGGCAGCGCTGAGGTTCCAATTTCTTCATTCTTGCCATCATAAGGGATGTGCTGAGTCACCGGGGTTTTAACGTACTTGTCCCTGAATGAGCAGACACGTGGAGCATCTTTTCAGGTGCTTGCTGGCCACCTGCAACGCTTCTCTGGGGAAATGTCTATTCAAGTTCTCTGCCCATTGCTTCACCTTTTTTTTTTTTTTTTTGGCTGTTGCTGAACTGTGGGAGTTTTGTTTACATATTCTGGATGCTAATCTCTTACCAGATCCAGGATTTGTAGAAACGTTTTCTCCCATTCTGTGGCACACAGGAGTTATTCTGATAAAATCCAATTTACGTTTTCGTTTTTGTTGCGTTTTCAGTGTCATCTAAGAAATGACTGCCAAATTCTGCATGATTAAGCTTTCCCCCATGATTTATTCGAAGAGTTTTATAGTTTTTGCTCTTAGGTCTTTGATCCATTGTGAGTTAATTTTTTACTCAATGGTATAAAGGTTCCACTTTCTCCTTCTGCTTGTGGGTGCCCAGTTTCCCAGCACCATTCGTTGAAGAGACTGTCCTGGCCCTGTTTCACGTCCTAGCGCCCTTAATGAGAGCCATTCCCCCCACACGCGAGGGTTTCTCTCTGGGTGCTCTTCCCCACTGTCTGCACGTCTGTCTTTACGTCGGTACTGCACCGTGTTGGTGACTTGCTTTGTGGTAAGCTTTATGATCAGGAAGTGGCAAGACCTATAACTGACATTTAAAAGCCAGAGGTCAAGCCTGGTCAATAAACAAGTGTCAAGAATTGCAGTCCACCACACGAGGACTGTGGAAATCTTTCAAAAAATTCCTCAAAATGGGCCCATTTCTTTATAGCATCTTAAGTCAATTGCAGCTTGTGTTCTTGTTGGTTTGGTGCTCAGCACTGGTATTTTTATGAAACTCAATTAGAGTTCTTTGGGCACAGGTAGGATAAATCAGCGTTGGGGTCTAAGGTACAAAACAGCCAAAGGGGAAAAGGTGCAACATTCGCAAGCAAGAAAACGTGGTTCTAAGCCCAGCCCCACACCTAAATTGGGGTATAAAGCTGGATAAGGTTATTAACTGCTCTGGGTATAACCTGCAATAGAAATACTAATATCCACTCTGTGTAATTTATCAAGTAAGAATAAAAATTTGCTTATCAATAAAAGACAGTAGTCTCTGTCCAGAAATCTAACACGGGGAAAGGAACGGGACCAGCGGCGTGCTGCTGAGACGGTCCGGCTCATGACGAACATAACATAAAGTTTTACAATCACTGTCCTGCCTGCCCAGGTAGAGGACACAAGTATGGTTAAACTTAGCAACAACAGGACAGTGGCTGGGAGTACAGCTCCAGGCTCTGACACGAATGGACGTTGAGTGCTGACTGAGCCACTGCCTGGTTACCTCGCCAGCCTGAGTGTCTTCATTGGTAACACAGGGGAGGGACTCCAGCTGAGCTCATGGAGTTGTTGTGAAGATCAATGACATCTTGTGTAATTAATGCTAACCCACAGTTAATGTAACAAAGCCTGATTTAGTAATAGTAGCATTAGGAGACACTGAACTCTGGGCCTTCCGACAGCAGGTGTCTTCGCTGTGCGGGACCGAGTATCCGCAGAAAGAGCACTTACCCGGTCTCCAGGTCGTACCATCGGTTCTTGCTTTGTACCTAATTTATGCAGAATGTTGTAAGCAACCTTCATACTTCTTGTCCACAGTTTGCCTATTAACAGAAATGAGAAAGACACAAGTAAGTGGACACAGGCATTTTCAGTTATGTATCAATGTGCACATTAAACTAGAGAGGGTACTAGTTCATTTTAAGTCTTCAAGTTATCCTGAGTCCCTGGAATCAGGAAGGAAAGTAAGAGCCAGCAACTCTGATTCATAAAATCTGAGAAGCCTTAACACTGGAACAAGGTACTGCTACAAATACTCTCCATGGGGGGTGTGCCAAGATGGCGGAGGAGTAGGAGACCTGGATTTTGTCTGGTCTCAGGAATTCAGCTGAATAGGGATCAAACCATTCTGAACACCTACGAACTCAACAGGAGATCGAAGAAAAGAATACTAACAACACTCTGAACAGAAAAGCGACCACTTTCTGGAAGGTAGGACATGCGGAGAAGTGAATCCGAGGCGATATTCGGGAGGATAGACGGCGGGGGAGGGGGCCTCCGTCGGCTGCTTCTGGCAAGTGCTAGAGCCGCGGAGCACAAAATCGGACCTTTTAGAAGTCGGCTCCGTGGAGGGACGTCGCTCCAGTGGCTAAGCGGGGGGTGGAACCCGTGGGACAGTGTGGTCTCAGGACCCTCGGGGTCACAGGAAGACCGGGGGTGCCTGGTGTGCCAGAGCTCCCAGGTATCGGAGCGGGGGAGCCGGCTGCAGAGACGGAGCCGAGGCGCGGGATCTCAGCTCGGGGTTGCCATAAACCGTGATCCGTGGCCCAGTCGGGCCACGGCTCCTCCAGCAGGGACCCAACAAGCGGCAGAGCCGGGGAGACTCCCCTTCCTTCCCGGGGAGGAGCGGCGCGGGAACGCACCGCAGGGATCTGCTGGGTTTGGAGACTCCACACGGGGTCGGGTGCCAGAGATAGAAACGCTCAGTCACAGGCCGGGTGAGCACGGAGTGCGGCCGGAGACCGGGGACACGGGAGTGACTGCTTTTCTCTGGGGGCGCACTGAGGAGCGGGGCCCCGAGTTCTCAGCTCCTCCGGGCGGAGATTGGGAGGCCACCATTTTCACCCTGGTCCTCCAAAGCTGTACCGAGAGCTTGCAGGGAACAAAAGCTCCTGAGAGCAAACCCGAGCAGCTTGCTTAGCCCGGACCGACAAGGGCGGGGCAATTCAGCCTCCGGCAAAGACATTTGGAAACCACAGCAACAGGCCCCTCCCCCAGAAGATCAGCACGAACAGCCAGCAAGCCAAGACCAAGTTTACCGATCAAGGAGAACAGGAGAACTCCAGCGCTAGGGGAATACTGCACATAGAATTCATGGCTTTTTTACCATGATTCATTAGTTTTTGAAAGTTAATTTTTTTAACTGTTTTTTTTTGAATTTTTCTTTTTCCCTTTTTCAAACATCTTATCAATCCCTTTTTTAAAAAAAACATTTTTTATTTTTCATTTTTAGAGTCATAATTTTATCCCTTCATAGTAGTTACCCTTCTTTTTGGTATATATATATATATAAGTTGTTCTCTCTTTAAAATTTTGAGATACAATTTCTTCTAACAGATCAAAATATACCCTAAATCACTAGTATATGGCTTTGTTCTATTCTCCTGCCTGATCACATTCTCTACCTTTTTTTTTCTTTTTCTTTTTAAATCTTCTTCTTTCTTTTTAAAAAACAACTTCTTACCTTATCAATTCCTTTTATAAAATCTTTTATAATTTTCATCTATACAGTCATCTGCCATCCCTTCATTGTATCAACCCTTATTTTGTACATATATAAGTCTTTCTTCCTTTAAAATTTTAGCAGGCAGTTTCTTCTAACAGACCAAAATACGCCCAAAAGCTAGTGTGTGGCACTGATCTATGCACTAGCCTGATCATATTTGATCATATTCTGTTTTTTTTTGTTTTGTTCTGTTTTTGTTTGTTTTTATCTTTTTCTTTTCTCTTTTTTTTTTTTCTCTCTTCTTTCTTTCCCTTCCTTGTCCCCTGGTTTCAGGTCTTTTCTGATTTGTATAGAGTATATTTGCTGGAGACATTGTTAATCTGTTAGCATTCTGTTCTCTCATTCATCTGTTCTCCTCTGGACAAAATGACAAGACGAAAAAAATCACCTCAGCAAAAAGAACAAGAGGTAGTACCGTCTGCCAGGGACCTATTCTATACGGACATTAGTACGATGTCGGACCTAGAGTTCAGAATTATGACTTTAAAGATACTAGCTGGGCTTGAAAAAAGCGTGGAAGTTATTAGAGAAACCCTTTCTGGAGAAATAAAAGAACTAAAATCTAACCAAGTCGAAATCAAAAAGGCTATTGATGAAGTGCAATCAAAAACGGGGGCACTAACTGCTAGGATAAATGAGGCAGAAGAAAGAATCAGCGATACAGAAGACCAAATGATGGAAAATAAAGAGGCTGAGAAAATTAGAGATAAACAACTACAGGATCACGAGGGCAGAATTCGAGAGATAAGCGATACGATAAGACGAAACAACATTAGAATAATTGGGATCCCAGAAGAAGAAAGAGAGACAGGGGCAGAAGGTATATTGGAGCAAAGAATAGCAGAGAACTTCCCTAATGTGGGGAAGGAAACAGGCATCAAAATCCAGGAGGCACAGAGAACCCCTCTCAAAATCAATAAAAATAGGTCAACACACCGACATCTAATAGTAAAACTTACGAGTCTCAGAGACAAAAAGAAAATCCTGAAGGCAGCTCGGGAGAAGAGATATGTAACCTACAATGGTAGAAACATTAGATTGGCAACAGACCTATCCACAAAGACCTGGCAGGCCAGAAAGGACTGGCATGATGTCTTCAGAGCACTAAACGAGAAAAATATGCAGCCAAGAATACTATATCCAGCTAGGCTATGATTGAAAATAGAAGGAGAGATAAAAAGCTTCCAGGACAAACAAAAACTAAAGGAATTGGCAAACACAAAACCAGCTCTACAAGAAATATTGAAAGAGGTCCTCTAAGGAAAAAGAGAGCCTAAAAGCAGCATAGACCAGAAAGGAACACAGACAATATACAGTAACAGTCACCTTACAGGTAATACAATGGCACTAAATTCATACCTTTCAATAGTTACCCTGAATGTACATGGGCTACATGCCCCAATCAAAAGACACAGCCTATCAGATTGGATTAAAAAACAAGACCCATCAATATGCTGTCTGCAAGAGACTCATTTTAGACTCAAAGACACCCCCAGATTGAAAGTGAGGGGGTGGAAAACCATTTACCATGCTAGTGGACACCAAAAGAAAGCTGGGGTGGCAATCCTTATATCAGACAAATTAGATTTTAAAACAAAGACTGTAATAAGAGATGAAGAAGGACACTATATCCTACTTAAAGGGTCTATCCAACAAGAAGATCTAACAATTGTAAATATCTATGTCCCTAACGTGGGAGCAGCCAATTATATAAGGCAATTAATAACAAAAGCAAAGAAACACATTGACAACAATACAATAATAGTGGGGGACTTTAACACCCCCCTAACTGAAATGGACAGATCATCTAAGCAAAAGATCAACAAGGAAATAAAGACTTTAAATGAAACACTGAACCAAATGGACTTTATACACATATTCAGAACATTGCATCCCAAAGCAACAGAATACACATTCTTCTCTAGTGCCCATGGAACATTCTCCAGAATTGATCACATCCTAGGTCACAAATCAGGTCTGAACCGGTACCAAAAGACTGGGATTATTCCCTGCATATTTTCAGACCACAATGCTTTGAAACTAGAACTCAACCACAAGAGGAAAGTCGGAAAGAACTCAAATACATGGAGGCTAAAGAGCATCCTACTAAAGAATGAATGGGTCAACCAGGAAATTAAAGAAGAATTTAAAAAATTCATGGAAACCAATTTAAATGAAAACACAACTCTTCAAAATCTTTGGGATACAGCAAAGGCAGTCCTGAGAGGAAAGTATATAGCAACACAAGCCTTTCTCAAGAAACAAGAAAGGTCTCAAATACACAACCTAACCCTACACCTAAAGGAGCTGGAGAAAGAACAGCAAATAAAGCCTAAACCCAGCAGGAGAAGAGAAATCATAAAGATCAGAGCAGAAATCAATGAAATAGAAACCAAAAGAACAGTAGAACAGATCAACGAAACTAGGAGCTGGTTCTTTGAAAGAATTAACAAGATTGATAAACCCCTGGCCAGACTTATCCAAAAGAAAAGAGAAATGACCCAAATCAACAAAATCATGAATGAAAGAGGAGAGATGACAACCAACACCAAAGAAATACAAACAATTATAAGAACATATTCTGAGCAACTCTATGCCAGCAAGTTAGAGAACCTGGAAGAAATGGGTGCATTCCTAGAGATGTATCAACTACCAAAACTGAACCAGGAAGAAATAGAAAACCTAAACAGACCTATAACCACTAAGGAAATTGAAGCAGTCATCAAAAATCTCCCAACAAACAAAAGCCCAGGGCCAGATGGCTTCCCAGGGGAATTCTATCAGACATTTCAAGAAGAATTAATACCTATTCTCCTGAAACTGTTCCAAAAAATAGAAATGGAAGGAAAACTTCCAAATTCATTTTATGAGGCCACCATTACCTTGATCCCAAAACCAGACACAGACCCCATCAAAAAGGAGAATTACAGACCAATATCCCTGATGAACATGGATGTAAAAATTCTCACCAAAATACTAGCCAATAGGATCCAACAGTACATTAAAAGGATTATTCACCATGACCAAGTGGGATTTATCCCTGGGCTGCAAGGCTGGTTCAACATCCGCAAATCAATCAACGTGATACAATACATTAACAAAAGAAAGAACAAGAATCATATGATCCTCTCCATAGATGCAGAAAAAGCATTTGACAAAGTACAGCATCCTTTCTTGATTAAAACTCTTCAGAGTATAGGGACAGAGGGTACATACCTCAATATCATAAAAGCCATCTATGAAAAACCTACAGCGAATATCATTCTCAATGGGGAAAAGCTGAGAGCTTTTCCCCTAAGGTCAGGAACGCGGCAGGGA